AAAAAAGTTGTTATTTTTGTTGCATGTTACAATAGCATCTTAGACATTGCCCAAGGTGCAACGTAAAGCGATTTCATTCACATGATGAACGTGCTCGTCTTGACTCAATTCCTTTTGAACATAACTTCATTTCAAATCAGCTCCCTGACACCCCACCCCCGATTTTGTTCATGCTTCCCTGTGGGATTTTTCCATGACATTGGAACTTGACCCACAGAACGTTTATCTTCTTCAAAAGGCCCTGGAAGTCCAGGTGGGAAAGTGTTAGTCATGTTGACAAGAAAGATAGGAGTTTCTCGTGGTGAAGCAAGTCCCTCTGCTCAGGAGGCTGCGGTTTACAGGACATAAGGGTGACCTTGGAAGTGGCCACTGACCTTGAATAAATCACTCACATGCCATGCTGGTGGGGAGCTTTGTGGGGAAGGCCCGAAAAGGACCTGAACTGAAGGGTCTGGAAATCTGGATGCCGGCCCGGCCTTCACTTCAGATCATGTGCAAGTCACTTAAGCCTTTTCTCTGGATCTCAGTTTTCTCATCTATCGAATGGGGCAGAGAAGGGGCAGTGGTTGGTCTTGTTGCTCCTCTGAGGTTCCTGCCATGTGTCAAGTTCTCAGCCTTGACTGACCCAGCTGATGTCATTCTGCTCGCTGACAGGTAGGAGCTCTCTTACCCTTTGCCTTCGACTGTATAAGCAGGGCTGTCCCGGGAAGTCCATTACCAAAGAATACTTCAAAGCTGTTTGCACTTGTAGTCAGTTGCACAGAACACGAGTTGGTCGAGAAAGAAGGCAAATAGACACACAGACCAATGGGGGGTAGTGATGGTGGTGGGGAGGAGACCACTGTTTACCCCTAGGGTGATTGGGAGGGGGGGGAAATAAAACCCTGCCCGCTGTTTTGACCAATAAATAAAAACTGGGAGCTCTGCGTGGCTAAAACCTTAGGGGATTTATTAGTTTGCTTAGCGAAAGGCAAATATTAAGTCTTAACTTGACCCGGCCTGGGACCTGCCTCTTTGGCTTTTGTATGCCATCCGGCGCCGAGCGCTGGGCCCTCCGGGTTATCGAGCCCTGTGGAAGGGGTTTTTTTTTTTCATTGTTTTCTGTCTCCTTTTCTTCCTCCTTTGCCTGCCCCTTCCCCCACCCCCCACCTTTTCTGGTAACTCAGGTCTGGGTTTGGAGGGGTGGAGAGGCAAGGTGGAAAACATGTTGTCTTGCTCATAAAATATGTTGTCTCTGCCCGGAGCTCCAGCTGGCCTGCGAACTCCAGGTGCCGGGGATGTGGCCACTCAGAGGGGAGAGCCCAGCAGGCGGTCCCCGCCGGTCACTTCCGTCCTCTGTCCTGAACTCTTACCGTTGCATCCCAGGCTGTTAGGCAAAGGCCTTGTCCCTCATTCCACTTAAAATGACTGTAATGACAAGCACCGGAAAGGAACAGAGGACAGCCGTTTCTAAGCTGCAGCCTGCCCACCCCGTGTGGCTGCTCAGACCTCACCGTGACGAGGGCTTTGGCCTGTTCAAGGCGGGGCTGTGAGTGTTCCTTTGGGCCTGACCAGTGCTTGGGACTCTTCCTAGAGTGAGCTGTCTGGGCCGGAGAGGCTGCCCAGGCTATCAGTTTCAAGTAGGAGCCGCACTGACACTCACCTAGACGGCACCTTCTTTACTCTCCGCTGTTAACATCCCCGGTGCAAGCCAGGCTGTTCTAAAGGGCTGTGGTTTGTGTATGTTCAGGTCTCATGAGTGATCCTTGCTAATGGCAAACTGTGGCCCACTGGGCAGTTGGGTCCACCCCTGGTGACTCTCCACGGAGGACGCATCTTGCCAATCTGCCTGGACATTCCGGTTCCCTTCCCTCTACTCATGGCAGCCAGGAGTTGGGAATGTTCTAGAGCTACTTTCAAAAGTTCCTCGCACATTACAGTATTGGTTTTTTCAAGGAATTCTGCATGATCTTAAAAATCTTTTTGCAATTCTTTACAGGAGAGTCTGTTATTTAAAGGATGGACGCTGTGCGCCTAGGCTCCTGAAATCCTATGGATCCTTCAAGGCTCATCTCACACACTTCCTTCAATCGGAAGCCTTCCTGGATTTCTCCTTTTCTCTCAAGAAAAGAAGAAGTTGTGACTTCTCCCTCACATATTATTTTAAAGCATCAGGTGTTTTATAGATGTTCACAAAGTTCTGGTCTTCCTTCCTTGACCAAAGGACTTTAATACCTCACTTACTGCGCTTACAATGAACTTGTTTGGGGTACCCTCTTCCCTCCCAATTCATATTCAAATTCGTTCATTCATATTCTCTCTCTCCATCTCTCTCTCATAAGAACATGAATGGAGTTATTCCTTATTTATTGAAATGTACCCCTGAAATGCCTGGTAATGTTCAGGACCATCTAGTGGGTGCTGTGGTGGGTGCTGTGATCCCTTAGTGAATCATCACAAAACAGAGGCTTACAGAAATCAATTGCTTTAGCCAAGTCTTTTCTGTGAGAGTTGAGATTCAAAACCTGGGTCATGGACAATTTCAAGTTCAGAGCTGATGAAGTTACAACATACTAGCTTTTGCATGGTATACTGACAAGAAAGATGTTGGGTGACTTTTTCTATTAACAACCTGCTACTGTGTATGTACCAAATTTGCCCGTGCATTGTACCTGTGTGTTACTGTGTGTACCAAATGTGCGTGTTTTTTAGCTTGTCAAGATTAATCAATAAAGTGTTTTCTGAACAGCAGATAAATTTTGTTTGTTGCTTGATTGGTTGTTTCCCTGCGGAAACTCTTCTTGCAAATAGAATTATGTCTGGCTTTTGCCAGTTATCCATGAGGTAGATTCATGTTTAAGGTGGGAAGGAGAATATCCATTTGACTGTTTAGATCACAAATTTTAAAGAGTTTCTCCCTGTAAATCCCTGTCTAACAGGGGGAAATGCAGACAAAAATAAATAAAAATAGGATCTGTCTATTAATATCTGCTGATATCCAAAGAGTTTTGCCCTGTCTGATAGGGAGAAGTACAGAAAAAACAAGCAAAAGGGATCTGGATTTTAATAGGTACATCCCTTGCCATGGGGACTGGATGTAAGTTCAAGGGCTTAACACCTGGAGACCGAAGACTCTCCCATGGGGAGGTTTGTAAAGGAGGATAGAGGAGAACAGAAATGCAGGAAGAAGCTTTGCCTGTTTCGGGAAAGAGAGGTGCTGAAAGTGCACCCCCTTCTTACTTTGCACAAACAAGTAAAGGAAGAGCTTGGACAAAGAGGAAGTCATCTGTGGAACACGGTCACCAGGCAGACTTTCAGACATGAGAGAAATGGTATGACTTTCAGCCAAGAAAAAACAGGCAGTTTGGGAAAATAATGAAGGTCAATGGTTTGAGGGGCTTTCCGATGTCAAGTTCTTTGCAAGGCTTCTCACTGGAATCTCATGATGTCTTTGTGAGAAGGTAATGTGACCTCGTTCTCATAGGTGAGGAAACGAGGGCTGAGGGAGTGCGGTGACTCACCGTAGAGCACACCGTGAACCTTGCCTCGAAGTGCAGTGCTGCAGTTCTCTGTGTCATGGCCATCACTGTATCAGTTACTGTAGGCTGCTGCAACAAAATGGTTGTGTCACCTAATGAGTTTTTTTCTCATTTACACATCAGTCAGCTGAATATGAGTTGGCAGTGTTGGGGACAAGAGGCTCTTTGTCTTGCAGAAGTTTAGGAACCTACCTGGTGGTGTGTCTTAGGATACTACCACCTTCAAGGGGGAGGGTGGTCACCAGAGCACTGTGGGCGGACCTGCTTGTGCTTGATGCCTTGACCTGGAGGAGACTCCCAGTACTTGAACTCACGTTCCTCTAAGGAATCGGTCACATGCTCCAGCTGGATGCAAGAGCTCTGGTAAGTGTCCAGCTCTGTGGAGGAAGGGGCAGAGATCCAGGAATGTTGGTGAGCACTGGAAGTTTCTGTCACATGAACCAAACCCCCTGCAGGGCTACCGTGGTGTAGCTCATTGACCTTCATCATGGTGGACATCAAAGGGGTCTGTCCTTCCAGATGCCCCATTGTCACTGGACTGGGTATGTATGTTTAGCGCATTCTTGCCGCCGGTGTCAAAGAGGAGAGGACTCTTGCAGGGAGGCAGGATAGAGTAGGGGTGAAGGGCACATCTCGAGCCTGACTGTTGAGGCTTGGACTTCCTCACTGGCGTTGAGCAGTGCAACTTCCAGTGAGTGACTCAGCCCCTCTGTGCCTCAATTTCCATTTCCTGAAACTGCTTCCTAGGGTTGTTACAAGGTTAGACTGAGTTCCTGCAGGCACAGCACTCAAGACAGTGCCAGGCACACAGCACTCTGGCAGCAAGGCCTCTGGGCTCTCTTTATACTCTGGATGTGGAGTCGTAGGGGCCTGACAAATGCAACTTTGGCCCAGATGATCTCTGTGTCCAGATGGGAAGAGTGAGCCTCAGCCATCGGGTCTATGTTGCTCTGCTGTGCGAAGGTGCCCCGGGCTTTCTGGCTGTGGTGGCTTTGTTTGGTATTGGGGCAGAACTGGGCTTCAGACCACGGCTCTCTATGGTATCTCCTTCTGGGCCTTCCCAGCTCTCACGTGACTCCAAAGGCCAACTTCTCTCCACAATCTGCAGTTTCATCTCCTGTCTAAAGACACCGTTCAGAACACTCCGCGAGCCAGACACATTGGGTACAAGAGGCCCCTTCTGTGCCCTCCTCTGCTGTGCAGGGAGACGGCCAATTTGTAAGCCTGCGGGGGGCCCCCCAAGCTGGATGACCGTCTCCCTGTCTCACCCAGATCTCAAGTCACACCCTTCCCTGTACACGCAGACCAGCGAGCCCCCCTTGGGGACCCCCTGGCCTGGGTGTGGGCTCTCGTAGCTGTGAGACCTCAGTGGCCCGGGGTTCTGGCACCAGCTCTGCCTGTTTGGTCTTTGGCTTTCCTGGCACCACGAGAGCATGGAAAAGCTGGTCTGTTTACAGGACACGGGGCCAGAAGAGCATTAAAAAATAAGGAGCAAATAAAATGTCATAAACAAATTTCCTTTCCAGTAAGGAGCGTTCCTTTCCCTGTCCCCCGACATGAACCACTTTTTTCTCCTGTGTTTGGATAAACTTTCATCGGGGCCATTGCCATTCCCGGGGAGGGGCCTGTTTCCGTGGTGGGCTATTTATTTTGATTTTGACCATTCCCTTCTCTTTGAGCATCACATACCTAATAGTAAAGAAAATATGTTTCCTGTGGGGGCACAGGGAGCCCTTCCCCTGTCTCCTCCCCAGCACCTCTGTCCTCCGGCCTCCCTCGAGGGGGCGGACACAAACGTCCAGAAAGCAGGAGGGCTAGGAGCACTGGTCGAGTGAGCACAGAGGAGGGAAGGAGGTGAAGCGGAGGAGAGAAACGGTTTCCAATGAAAGCTGGAGTGGATCCAGAGGGTTGTGAGTGGGTGACCTGCTCTCTGCGACGCCTCTTCGGAGTGAAAGCCACCGGTCTCACGTTTCCTGACCCCAGCAGGTAGCTTATTGTAAAACAGTTCATCCAGAGGGGAAAAAAATACCTTGTTTCAGCAACGTAATTTTTTTTTTCTTTTTTTGCTCTGAACCAGACTTGAGTGGAAGAGAATGGCAGAGAGCTGCCTTTTTCTGAGCAGAGAGCTAAGAAAACAAAAGCAAAAAACCTCCTTTAAGGAAATGTTGTTCTTATTTATATGCAGAGAGTGCCAAAAACTGTATTCACACCTTAAGAAAGGAAAAGACTGTATTAAAATTGTAATACTCAGTATATACCGATAACAAAAGGTGAATTCAAGTCACGTTTGACTTCTGCAATTACAAGAGGTGCTCAGAGTGGTTACCATCGGCATCCAGACACTTCTGATTCCTGGGAACATCTCTTAAAATGTGATACTTTTTTTTGTCACCCCTGGCATTTATTTATTTTAGGGGCATGGTCTTACTCTGTCACCCCCAGGATAGAGTGCAGTGGTGCAACCATGGCTTACTGTAGCCTAGAACTCCTGGGCTCAAGCAATCCTCTGGCCTCAGCCTCCAGAGTCGCTGAGTTTCGAGGGGAGGCTGCCACACCCCTATGCCCAGATAATTGTTTTTCTTCTTTATAAAGGCCGTGTGTCATCAAGGAGCTCTATTTGCATATTTTAAACTATCCCTCTGAGCCCCTCCTTCCCCTCTGCCTTCTATTTTCCCTCTGCGTTGAAATGGGGAAAAGGGAAAGACATCCACACTGACTGATGGGGGCGAGAGACAGGAAAGCCACTGTTCATTCTCACCTTCTATTGAGTGTTAATTTCTCTTTCTGCATTCCCTGCCTCTTCTGGTTGGTGAATCGATATTCTTGGAGGTGCTGAATTCAGACAGGCCGTGAAGAGCAGGGTGTCTGGACTCGTTGACAAGCCACAGCACCGGACTGGCTTCAGATTCCTTCTCTTTAGCTCCGTGGAGAGCCCAGGAGGTGGCTGGGGTGGAGGATGGGGTCGCCCACCCCATCACAGCTTCCCCATGCGTTCCTCCGCCCACCTCTGCCTCTCTTGTTTGCCTCCTTACACCCTTCTTCCAAAGACAGTCCGGGGCTGTCACAATGTCACCTGGTGTAGGCTGGGCACCCGAGTTGGTGTCGTGGTGATGAGAGAAGCCAGTCGCTGCCCCCTTTGGGAGCCCTGTCTCCTGAGAGTGGAAGGGGACGAGGCTTATGCCAGAAGGCATGAGAACCTCATTGACAAACCTGGCTGGCGTTGGAATGATCCTTGGTGTGCACGTTCATGAGTAAAACGCACAGAATCAATTGTGTGCCGAGCTTGGACCGGAAAGGAGCTGTAGACTCTGTACCTGGTGGGTACGAGCTTTGGGTAGAACTGTCCAGAATCAAGGAGGAAAGTCTAAGGAGCCACCCTCAATCTGGTGCTTTCAAGAGCAACAGGAGGCTCTAATTTAACAAAAATGATGACCCGACAGTCTAATGCAGTGAGAGAGAGACCGTGGTCCTTGTTCTCAGACCTCGGTCTTGGGAACACTGAGATTCGGGTGGGTTAATTGAGCTGCAACCTCACTCTGGCAAGTTAGTGGTGAGCTTTGACGGGAGCAGGACTTTGAGTCTCCGCCTGGAATAGGATCTCCTCATCGCCTCCAGGGACAGATGCAGGGAGAGGAGGCCAGAGAAGGCCTCCGGGTTGCCCGGAGGGAGGAAGGATCCAGGCTGAGCAAAATGCTGTAGAAGCAAAATTCATTTGTGGTAGCTTTGTGCCTGCCGTCAGGGTTGGGTGCTCCCGGGTCACAAATGCTTTGAGTGAGAGGCACCGGGGGTGGACCAGCCTCCACGTGGGATGCTGGGCTCTCCAGGGAGGGGAAGACTTCATCCGGGCTGCGGCCCCATGCTCAGTTCCGCTCTATTTAGAACACTTTTTTTTGGTGGAAAACAGATTGCTCCGGAGGAACACCCCAGGCCAGCTGGGAGGCTGATTCTGCTGCAGCTTTCGGAACTGGGGCTGGGGGAGAAAGAGAGAAAGAGAAGGGCCTAGAGCAGGATGGCCAGCCCAGTACCCTGCTCCTCACCTTTCCCGGTCTCTCCCCTGCCCATGGTCCTCCTCCCGCCCACCCAGCAGCCTGTCTCTGGGCGGAACTTAAGGGGAGCGAGTTAAAATGCATCTGAAGCGATTTTTACTTGTCTAAGGTGAGATGGGCAAGTGGGAGTTTAAATGCTGTGAGTCCCACGGTGAAGAGACCCAGTGCAGTG